CTATGATATAAATAATGACACTACCTTCTACTATGATAGAAATCAAGGTTTTTTTCAAGAGTGACATGGCTTTGCTGGTTTCATTGCTATTATAGTTTTATTGTTTTTGATAATCCTACCAACACTTTGTATATTGTTTTATCCATTCAAATGGTTTCAAAAGTTATTGGATTGTTTACATCTAAGGAAACAGCTATTGATATCACTGGCTGATGTGTTTACTGGTCCTTATAAGAATGGAACTGAGAATACTTTCGATTATCGTTTCATGGCTGGATTATACCTACTGGCCAGAATAATCATTTTAAGTCAGTTTATTATTGGCTACCAGCAGTACTATCTCTATGCAGTCCCAACAGCTATATTTTCTTGTTCTTTTCTACTAGCAGTAGTAGTTCTAATATTTCGTTCATTCTATAAAAACATGCATAACTTTACCGAATTCCTTACTTTAGCTCTGACTGGCACACTTGGTATTTTGCTAGTTGTCCAGCTGGGTATCACTGTACTTTTTATTACTGTGCTATGCTTCAATATTCTTGTTTTTGGAATAATAATACCAGTTTATATAATGTATCATTTACGTAAAATTATAAAAGCTTGTCATTACTATCACAAAAAGAGAGTTCCTGTAATTCTTACAGAACAAGAACATGAAGAAGATGTTATATTATTAGAGAATAATTGGGTTGCTGATCGTATGGAGAATCCACAACAATATAATGAAAGTCATGTTCCTGTTATACCTGATGATCCAATAGCAGAGAATAAACAACCAGTTATTGCTACAGCTCTTGAAGAATTGAAAAGACTGCTACTTGAATCTTGATATTCAAAAATAAAAATTTTACTGCAATTATTAATTTGTGTGTTTTTTTCCCATTAAACAGCTGCTTTATTGTCTTTATGCTGCATTTTGTTAGTAAAATATTTTCATTGTAACTATAAGCCACACAAACTTTCTACACAACATATAGATCTAAGTACCTGTATATCTAATTATGATCTGAAAAATTATAAAAATGGACCTTTTCACAATTTTGGTGATAGTTTATTCCTTGTAATCATAATCAGGTCAAATTTTCAGGATTAACATAAGAATTTTAATATAACCAAACAGTACAATTCTTTATACATGATTGAGATTTTACGGTTCTCATTGCAACAAAACACAGCTGACATGTTAATGGCTGTAACCATTTATGGCATTACTCACATTTGAGTGTTGACAATAATAATAATAATACTCATTAATGCTGTCTGTCACTATTCTGTGGATCAGTTATGAGAGCTACCATACATCAGGTAAGTTATTATGCAATATGAACACTAGTCTCTATGAACACATGATCCAACTAATGTGATACTGTACAAAGGTTAACATGATTAAAACCATATAATGGGTTGGGCTTTGGCTGGTTGAATGAAGAATTTAGTCTGCAATAACAACATGTATAAATGAGAAATTACAATAGATACTGGTTCTGTAATACATGTATAGCATTTAAGCATTAAATTAACCTTTAACTGTCCAAGTCAGATACAAAATTTTACTTCAGTATGTGCTGCTACTCCTGCACTTTCAGTAATTCCATCAACTAGTGATTCATCCATTGTGTGGTTTACTAACTGTCAGTGTTGTTGTTCATATCTACTGCTTTATAAGGTAAGATTACACTGTTAGTACAATAAACAGTAACTGTTATTGTTTTTACTATAATTGTTATAAGAAATGTCCAAGTATTAAATAACCATATAGGTCATAAAGTACCATGTATTATACATGTACCGGTACATGTACAATTGTACATGTATTTATGCTATATAATAAGCACACTAGATTAACTATAAACTCACTTTAGACATGATCATTATATTTATTCCAAAGTGTGAGAGGTGACTGACAGTTTAGGAATCTTCATAAGGATAGACATAAGCTTTAGGAGTCTTCATAAGAATAGACATAAGCTTCTCCTGGGGTGATGTTATCAAGCTTAACTGCTAATGGATACTTTGTTTCATTATATAAAATAACCCAATGCCTGATTGTTACTACCAAAACCTGTATTGATACCACTGTGTTGTATTGCTACTAAAACCTGTATTGTTACCACCAAAATCTGTTACTTTGTCATATTGCATAAATAAACAATGGTATGAGAAAGATTATACCAACACTGTGAAACTGCACACCATGCAGGAGTAGAGCAAAAGTGCATGTTTTTCTTTGCATGCATCACATGACAAACACTGTGAGATTAGTCAAGCAAAACACCCTGTTAAAATTATAAATTTTATTGGGACAAGCAAAAATACTATTTGTACAGTCAAGTATAGTACATAGTCTCTTTCAATTGTTCATAGGGTGAATAGTGTATAAAGCTATCAGTATAACCTAGTAGCTCCAATAGAGTTATGAATCATTTCGACATGATAGATTAATAAAAAGCAAAAT